TCGCTGCCTGTCCCTCTGTACGGCCGACTCTCCAGCACTCAGGAGAGCCCCGAGGCGGGAGATCACTCGAGGTGTCAGCAGTTCGAAACACAGCCGAGCCCAAGAAGCGGACCCCCGTCCTACTAAAAAATAGAAAGAAATGATCTGGGCAATCCAAAAAAACCAGAAAACAAAACAAACAAACAAAAAATGACCCAGGTATGGAGCACGGCCGCATCCCAGCTACTCGGGAGAGCGAGGCTGGAGGATCGCTCGAGGGTGTCACATTGAGGCCAGCCTGAGCAAGAAGAGTGAGACCCCCCCACCTCTACTAAACCAAAATAGAAAGAAATGAGCTGGACAACTCAAAAAACATACATAGGAAAAAAAACTTAAAATAAATGACAGCCCGGGCGTGGTGCACATCCTGTAGTCCAGCTACTCGGTGGTGGGCCGAGGCCCGAGAGATGGCTCGAGCCCGAGCGGAGCCGACCACACCAGGAGCACGCTCCACCCGGGGCGACAGACAGAGGGAGGGAGGGAGCCGTCTCCCCCAAAAAAAGAAAAAAAAGAAAAGAGAGAAGAGAAGAGAAGGACAAGAAAAAAAAGAAAAGAGAAAAGAAAGAAAAGAGAAGAGAAGAGACAAGAGAAGAAAAAGAAAAGAGAAAAGAAAAGAAAAGAGAAAGAAGAGACAGAAAAGAAAAGAAAAGAGAAAAGAAGGAAAAGAAGAAAAGAAAGAAGAGAAAGACCAAAAGAAAAAAGACAAGAGAAGAGAAAAGAAAAGAAAAGAAAGAAAAAAGAAAAAAAAAAGAAAAAAAGAGAAGAAAGGAAAGAGAAAAGAAAGAAAAGAGAAAGAAAAGAAAAAAAAAAGAAGAAAAGAAAAGAAAAAAAGAAAGGAAAAAAAAAAAAGAGAAAAAGAATAAAGGAAAGAAAAGAAAAGAAAAGAAAAGGAAAAGAAAGAAAATAAAGAAAAAAAAGAAAGAAGGAAAAAAGAAAAGAAAAAAGCAAGAAAAAGAAAAGAAAAGAAAAAGAGAAAAGAAAAGGAAGGAAAGAAAGAAAAGAAGAGAAGAGAAAAGAAA